CTCTATTTCATCTCATGATATTCATATGACAGATGTTACGTCACCGGTGTTGGAGTAAAGACGTAATGGATGATTTTTTCAAATACAAATAGGGGTCATGTGACACCTTGATTGAAAGGTCTACCGATCGTCTATTCAACAGTCAAAATGTTGCATAAGAAGATTGAAATTAAAATGGATTATCATGTGATTAATTGAATCTTGCAGAGGTCTGCTACTGAGAATTGAACATCGATGTGTCGTCTAGTTAAAAAAAATACGTCGAAAAAAAAGTTCTAAACTCTAGTTTTTGGTTTTTTTTTCGAAGGTCGTCTTGTTTTGAAATGAATTTATTCCATAAATTTGCATCATACTGTATACACTGTTGATAGCTTTTGTTGTGCTATAGTTCCGAAAAATGAGTCAATAATACCGAGAAAGAACTGCAAGTCCTTTCATCTTCCATTCGACGTCGCGGTTACGTATATTACTAAACAACCACGAAATTCGCAATTTTTTGAAATCAAATCACAGAATTAGACTGACAGAACAGAAGTGACATCAGATATTTGATTACTTCGAAATAATGATAAAGATGCCTACAACGCAGGTGTTCATACTGTTAAAAACTTAAAATTTCACGTCGATAATTTTCAGATTTCAAAATGATGTAATATCTTCTCAATATTGATTCGTTCTTTCGTCTGTCACAGAAAAAAATAGTGTATTATACACGGGAAAAATATTAGATTGTAGCTCACGGTTATGAGCTAGAAAATGCTTCACAAAAACTCGGATTCTTGTTCCGTGCGAATATCTATTTCACATCTTAACAGCTTCTCATGATCTAAAAAGCACACATACGGACAGTTCTAGGACACTGGTCTCATGTAGGGGGTTCAGAACCCAAACAAACGCTGATGCTCTTAGATTCCATCCAGAGAAGAGCCATTCGCCTGGTGGGTGATGCCACACTCACTTACTCTTTAACCATATTAGAACACCGTAGAAAAGTCGGCGACCTTTCACTTTTCTACAGATACTTCCACAGGAAATGTCCATCAGAAATATCTGCTATAATTCCATCACTAGCATTACCAGTCAGACGAACTCGACAGGCTGAGTCAGCACATCCCTTCGTCGTTAATCTTGGAAAACGTCGAACAAAACTCTACCAAAACCCGTTCGTCTTAAAACGGCGAAGCTTCGTAATTCTTTACCAATGGGAGTATTCCCAAAAACTTATAACCTCCAAAAGTTCAAAAAAAAATCCAACCTACCTCCTTTCCCTATATTCCCTAGATATGCATGTTCCAGGAACATTATAGGAATTTCCAGTGGTAAAACTAGTATTTTTTTAATAGAACACCCAGTATTTTATTTTTCTAAATGGTAGGTAGGGCTTTCTTCGGATTTCATATATACAGGGTGAGTCATAACTATTGGGACATAGACTAAGTATAAAACATTCTTGATGTTTCTTTGTTGATCATTTTTGCTGTGGAAAAAGATACAGGGTGTTGAATTAGATTTTTTTTTTTTCGTTTCTTGCTGATAATTTTACTTTTATTTATTAATTGTTATCAAAATCGGCACAGAGGCATAATTTTATACAGGGAATATTATTTTATGTATAACTATACAGTTTGTCACAGCCCCGGGCGTCAAGTGAAAGCTTCCTGATGATGAAACTGGTAACATTTTCGATGAAACTGTTTAGTACTTGGGTACTTGATTATTTTAAGAAAAACAAACTAAAGAGAATAGGCTCAAGAATAGGTTTCCATAAAGAGCTATGACAACCTATAACACTGTGAGCACAAAAATCATATTGATTCAAACTCCAAGTCATACTCTTTTTGGAATACTTTCAGTTTTTTGAAATGTACACATCTATTTCTATAACAGTAAGTTGTGTTCACTGGTTACTGAGCCAAACAGAACAAGTAATGGAGCAGGACATTTCATGTCAAATTAGACAATAAGTGTTGTCTCCATTTCGAATTTAGATAATTTGAGAGTTTTCATTCTTGTTTCAATCTGAATTAAGGTATGTGCTAATAAATGTGTACAGGGTGGCTGAAATTCCAGCCTTATCATTGGATCTTGTGAAGGATCTTGTAAACTGTGAGTAAGTTTAAGTTTAGTTATGGTATGAAGTTGTGCTATTTTATGTCTAACAAAATGCCATTTTGAAATTTGAAACATTCCAAATACTTCCAAAGATGATGTTTTGTCTTTTAAATAAAAAATCCAGGTCCATACTCAAAACAACAAAGTTGATTGATAATTGTAACTCAAAGATGAAATGTGGGTTTTGAAACATGGGTTTGAAAATCTGGTTATACCTACAATCTTGTAGAACAAAAAGAGTAATTCTGATAGTCATAAAAAATAAAAATGAAATCATGAATATTCCTCTTTTCCAAAAATCTTCCAAAGGATTGGGAATTTTTCAAATTTCAAAACGGCATTTTGTTAGGCATGAAATGGGGGAGACCACGGATTTTTTTAAAAGACATTATCGTGAACTCCATACTGAAAATCTACCAGAGAGTTAATTTTGAATTTTTTCTTTCTAGCTAAGACAATGAAAAAAATAAATTAGAATGTGTCCATTTCAAAACACACAATTCCTGCACCATTTGAAATTTTGTCAATTCATTGGTGTGACTGGTGTGATGCCTTAGTCCCAACACGCCTATTGTCCTTGAAACAACCAATCACACTGCAACACTGCAGAATGGTAAAGTATCAGAGAGAGATAGCTACAGTTCAGGATTAATATGTCAGGGCACCACCATCATATTTGGCTTTTTGAAATATTTAATGAAAAATGCTGATTTCAAAATGATATAGATTCGATTCCATTCAACTTCAACTCATAATATTGATTGTACATAAAACGTAAATCATGATTGGTGGATTGAAAGAGGTTTGCATGGATTTCTTTCCTCAGTGGTCTTCTCCATTGTGCAACTTTGCAATAATTAAACTAACCTTGTAGGTATCTCTTATTGTTTCCAATGGTTCCAGCTACCCTGTACTCAAATTGGTGGATAGTGGAGTTTCAAAAAATGAAGAGAAACTGACATCTTCAGGAAATAATTAACCTGAGTATGCTTGGTATGGACACAAAGTGAAAGGGATATAAGTAGTTTAGAATAACTGATGGCAATATAAGCAATAGAGATCAATAGATCTATGCAAGTATGTACTTTCATATAGTTTCAACTTTCTTGCAAGTATTTGTATCAATTTTGATGCATATGGCAGAATATTTTCATCAAAAAGTCCCAAACTCAAGGAGCATCCACTTATTTCATTTCCCACTTTTATCACCAGCTGAAACTTTTTCAAGCACTGAATGTTTCTGGTTTTTAATCATCCTGTGTAATTATTCAAGGATCATCATAATGGTCTTGATACTTCAATATACCTAGATGCTTAGTAGAAAACAGAAATATCCCAAAGCATTGTTCTTAGTACCCATTAAAGCACTTAGAGCATTTTAGTGCTTCAAGACACTGTGCTCGTAAGCACATTTTTGAACCAGTGCTTAGTGCTAAGTACTTTCAGCATTTTACAAAAAGGCTTAGTGCTCAGCTTGGTGCCTTGCAGTGCTTGGGAGCACTTCACTTTCAGGAGCACTCTTTGGGATTACTAAGCACTAAGCTTTTCCATACTCACTACTTGTGGATACATGAAATTGTGACTGGTAGCACCCCCACTCAAGACAAACCTTTGGTTCTCTCCATATGCATCTTTGAAAGATCACTTATAATGAATGTGTTGCAGACTCCATACTGACTTTTCATATTGAATTGGAGTAGCATGTGATATAAATTAAAGTTATTTAATCTCCACAACATTAGTTATTTAATGACACACTTTTGAATAATGAATCATATGTGAAGGGGAGGGTGAAGCTTTGTGTTCAATTTAATATGCTGTTTCATTGATGTTTTGGATCTAATTTCATGTTATTACACTACAAATAATATGAAAAGCATGTCAAAAAGTAAAGTGTATAATAGTATCATCTTTTCCAGAAGTATTTAGTGCTTGCTATGTTCAATTACTTTTTGAAAGTGCTTAGTGATTGCCAGCACTTTGTCAATGTAAGTACTGGAGTACATAGTGCCCAAAGCACATTTGTCAGTGCTCTGCACAGCTCTGGTGGAAAGTTGGTATTACCACAGTTTATTGCTTTAAGCAATAAACTGTGGTATTACTGTAACCCATCCTAATGGTCTTGATTCTTCACTATACCTAGATGAATATTAATAACAATCACACTGCTGAGTGTGTTCTATTTATGAAGGTTTGTTAGTGTTTTCCCTTGTTCATTACTATCAACTAGAGTCCCTGTATGTATTTGACACTTTTGCTGTAATAAGAGTACGGACACTATGACAAGCAGTGACAGAAGGCATAACCCCAAAAAATTTGAAATGACATGAACAATTTGGCGGGCACTGACAGTTCATGAACGTACATGACATTAAATTATTTGAAAATTCAGGTTTTCAAAAATTAAAATGTCTAATTGTGTAGTGGAGAATCGCAGAAATGGAAGCGAGTCCTTTCATTTATTCCATTTCCCCCATTCTAACCAACAAGTACATATACCCTTTGTTAAGTATATGGAGAAATACTTTCAACAAATTGATTTACAAACTATGACCCCTTTTCGCCAGTGAGATGAGACGCCACTTCTTTATGAAAATAAAGACAGAGAAAGATATATGGATGTACCCTTCACCGCGGCAGTAGAGGATAGAAGATCCGAAGTGCATGGAAAAGCATATCCATGTCTTTGTTCAAAAGTCATTTTGAGAATTTGGGGTTATGCCTTCCGTCACTGTTTGTCATAGTGTCCGTACTCTTATTAGTCTTATTACAACAAAACTGACAAATATATACAGGGAATTATACATACAGGGACTCTACTATCAACATAAGTCACTATAAAACTACTACTAGAGGTTCTAGTATGGAAAATACTGAAAAAAACTTACATCTATGGGGTATATTTGCTGTTTGTCTATGGCAACCGATATTCCAGTAGGTAAATCCTTACTAGACCCATTTGAGTTGTTTCGCTGTACTATTACTTGTGTCCAAGAACCTGGAGAAGCTCCCACATCGAGAACGACATGTCCTGGCTGAAGGATTTTATATTTATCGTCGATTTCAATCAGCTTGAATGCGCTTCGGCATCTGTAGTTCAACATTCGTGCCTTTTCAACATATGGATCCGATAGTTGCCTGGAAAGCCAATGCTGTGAGCTGGCGTTCTTCGTTTTCGACTTCAAGCCTTCGGGTGTGATTACCCTGAAGAGTTTCGGGTACGTTGATAGTTTTCGCGTGGATATCATTTCACCAAGATATCAATCACCAAACATGAGCAGAAACGGAAAACCGAATATTAAAAATTGGATGTTGGATGGCGAATTGATGACGTTTCTTTTTTATTAGATATGAATATGGCCTAAGGCCGTTAGTGTAATGCCTAACACAAAAGGCAAGATGGAGCGATGGCGCGGCGGTATTCAATGAAGGAGCTGTGTGAAAATGGCAGCCAAAGATAGCAGTCAAAATCTCCGAACATTGCCGAAGACCCAGTGGCGGACAACATGTTTTTTTTTCATGCCTTCGAATACCAAACAATATTTTGAGTGAATTTTGAATGTATTATATAGTTATAAAAAACTGCTGGACAAAATCAACATACCTAATGAAGTAATTGACGATTTGACCATAGACACAATTCCTGCAAAACCTATCCAGAATAATACCTATATGAAAAAATTAAACCAAACACACAAAAAAAATTATGTTGAAGGTGTAAATAAAAAACTGCTGCGATGACATAGGGTAGGAATCATTCAAACAGACCTAAGGAACGATTTGCCTGTCGCAAAAATCCCCGCAACCCCTATCGAAAAAAAATATATCATATTCATCAACCCTACAGATAAAAAAGTTTTTTCAGTGTGTAAATGAAAAACTGCTGCGATGACATATGGTAGGAATCATTCTAACAGACCTAAGGAACGATTTGCCTATCGAAAATCTTCCCGCAACCCCTACCGAAAAAAAAAAATATCATATTCAAACCTACACATAAAAATTTTTTTTCAGTGTGTAAATAAAAAACTGCTGCGGTGCCATATAGTAGGAATCATTCAAACAGACCTAAGGAACGATTTGCCTATCGAGAAACTCCCGCAACCCCTATCGAAAAAAAATATATCATATTCAAACCTATACACATAAAAAAAATTTTTCAGTGTGTAAATAAAGAACTGCTGCGATGCCATATGGTAGGAATCATTCAAACAGACCTAAGGAACGATTTCCCTGTCAAAAAACTCCCCGCAACCCCTATCGAGCATATTGTAGAGCATAAACAATTACTAAACAAACTGAGTATTATTGGCATCAAGAATAAAGCACTGGATTTATTTACTAGCTACCTAAATAACCGATGGCACTATACAACTATAAATGGAATGTCTAGTAAAAGGGTCCTGGTAACCAGTGGTGTACCCCAGGGGAGTGTCATTGGTCCAACCCTATTTCTCATATATATTAATGATCTGTGTTGCAATGACTTGAACGGGAAAATAACTCTGTTTGCTGATGATACTGCACTTTTCTACTCAGGAACACCCAAACAAATTTTCCAGCTAGCTCAACAGGATCTGAACTGCATAAGTGAGTGGACAGCAAAAAACAATATTCTCCTAAATCAAACTAAATGCAACTATATGATTTTCAATGGTGATCGGGAAAACAATTTCCAATTAAGCATTAACAGTGAGAAAATAAACGGAGTTGAAAGTGCCAAATATCTAGGTTTGATCTTGGATAATAAGTTATCGTTTGAAAAACATATCTCTAAACTATGCACAAAACTGAACTATCTATGCTATCACTTGAAACATAGTGCCATGAGGTTCAACAAAAAAACAAAATACCAAATTTACTATTCACATGTGTATTCCCATCTGACTTACTTAGCTGCTTTTTGGGGACAAGAAAGGCAATTAGAGAGTTAAAACTTTATTTAATTTTCCATAGGACAAACACAACAATGCTTTACAAAGATCTAAACATTTTGAAAGTCCCTGATATAGTTAAACTGGATAGTGTCAAAATTATTTATAGAATCAAAAACAACCTAACTGAAACAGAAGTCAACCTAACACAAAATTGTGATATACATTATTACAACACGAGAACAAATCAACACTTCCACATACTACCTAGTGCAACTAATGTTGGAAAAAAAGAACTACATTTCAAGCTCTCCAAATGGTTTAACCAAATTCCTGAACATATCAAAAACAGTACGTCCATTAACACTTTCAATAGACACATGAAAAAACTTCTTTTAGAAAATATGTGATGTATAAAAAAGTATCTCTTCCTACATGCACTACTTGTAATTTTAGTTCTTTAAGCTACAAACATTATTATTTAATAAGTATAATTATACAATTTTGTTGACATGCAAGTCACACATATAATAATTGTACATATGTTTTATACTCATTATGGATCTTGTTATCTCTTAGAGTATTCAAATAAATTTAAAAAAAAAACATATAAAAATTGTTTTTCAGTGTGTAAATAAAAAACTGCTGCGATGCCATATAGTAGGAATCATTCAAACAGACATAAAAAACGATTTGCCTATCGAGAAACTCCCGCAACCCCTATCGAAAAAAAATATATCATATGCAAACCTACACATAAAAATTTTTTTTCAGTGTGTAAATGAAAAACTGCTGCGATGCCATATGGTAGGAATCATTCAAACAGACCTGAGGAACGATTTGCCTATCGAAGATCTCCCGGCAACCCCTATCGAAAAAAAATATATCATATTCAAACCTACACATAAAAAAAATTTTTCAGTGTGTAAATAAAAAACAGTGCGATGCCATATAGTAGGAATCATTCAAACAGACCTAAGGAACGATTTGCCTATCAAAAAACTCCCCGCAACCCCTATCGAAAAAAAATATATCATATTCAAACCTACACATAAAAATTTTTTTTCAGTGTATAAATAAAACACTGCTGCGATGCCATATAGTAGGAATCATTCAAACAGACCTAAGGAACGATTTGCCTATCGAAAAACTCCCCGCAACCCCTATCGAAAGAAAATATATCATATTCAAACCTACACATAAAATTTTTTTTCCAGTGTATAAATAAAACACTGCTGCGATGCCATATAGTAGGAATCATTCAAACAGACCTAAGGAACGATTTGCCTATCGAAAAACTCCCCGCAATCCCTATCGAAAAAAAAATATATCATATTCAATCCTACACATAAAATTTTTTTTCCAGTGTATAAATAAAACACTGCTGCGATGCCATATAGTAGGAATCATTCAAACAGACCTAAGGAACGATTTGCCTATCAAAAATATCCCCGCAACCCCTATCGAAAAAAAATATATCATATTCAAACCTACACATAAAATTTTTTTTCCAGTGTATAAATAAAACACTGCTGCGATGCCATATAGTAGGAATCATTCAAACAGACCTAAGGAACGATTTGCCTATCGAAAAACTCCCCGCAATCCCTATCGAAAAAAAATATATCATATTCAATCCTACACATAAAAAATGTTTTTAAGTGTGTAAATGAAAAACTGCTGCGATGCCATATAGTAGGAATCATTCAAACAGACCTAAGGAACGATTTGCCTATCGAAAATCTCCCCGCTACCCTTATCGAAAAAAAATATATATCATATTCAAACCTACACATAAAAAAATGTTTTCAGTGTATGAATGAAACACTGCTGCGATGCCATATAGTAGGAATCATTCAAACAGACCTAAGGAACGATTTGCCTATCGAAAAACTCCCCGCAACCCCTATCGAAAAAAAATTATATCATATTCAATCCTACACATAAAAAATTTAGTGTGTAAATGAAAAACTGCTGCGAAGCCATACAGTAGGAATCATTCAAACAAACCTAAGGAACGATTTGCGTATCGAAAATCTTCCCGCAACCCCTATCGAAAAAAATATATCATATTCAAACCTACACATAAAAAATTTTTTTCAGTGTGTAAATAAAAAACTGCTGCGATGCCATATAGTAGGAATCATTCAAACAGACCTGAGGAACGATTTGCCTATCAAAAAACTCGCCGCAACCCCTATCGAAAAAAAATATATCATATTCAACCCTACAGATAAAACATTTTTTTCAGTGTGTAAATGAAAAACTGCTGCGATGACAAATGGTAGGAAACATTCGAACAGACCTAAGGAACGATTTGTCTATCGAAAATCTCCCCGCAACCCCTATCGAAAAAAAATATATCATATTCTAACCTACACATAAAAAAATTTTTTCAGTGTGTAAATGAAAAACTGCTGCGATGACATATGGTAGGAATCATTCGAACAGACCTAAGGAACGATTTGCGTATCGAAAAACTCCCCGCAACCCCTACCAAAAAAAAATATATTATATTCAAACCTTAAAAAAAATTTTTTATGTGTAGGTTTTGAATATGATATATCTTTTTTCGATATGGGTTGCGGGGAGATTCTCGATAGGCAAATAGTTCCTTAGGTCTGTTTGAATGATTCCTACCATATGTCATCGCAGCAGTTTTTCATTTACACACTGAAATAATTTTTTTATCTGTAGGGTTGAATATGAAATATTTTTTGTCGATAGGATCTGCGGGGATTTTTCCGACAGGCAAATCGTTCCTTAGGTCTGTTTGAATGATTCCTACCATATGTCATCGCAGCAGTTTTATATTTACACCTTCAAAATATTTTTCTTTGTGTGTTTGGTTGGATATTTTCATATAGGTATTATTCTGGATAGGTGTTGCAGGGACTGTCTCTATGGTCAAATCGTTAATCACTTCATTGGGTATGTTAATTTTGTCCAGCAGTTTTTTATAACTATATAATACTTTCAAAATTCACTCAAAATATTGTTTCGTATTCGAAGGCATGGAAAAAAAACATGTTGTCCGCCACTGGGTTTTCGGCAATGTTCGGAGATTTTGGCTGCTATCTGTGACTGCCATGTTCACACAGCTCAATGGAGGTTGGTAGAACTGATGATCATTTACAAATCATAATCAAATCTACCAACCTTGTAGTACCGGTGTGAATTTGGCTGCCTAAGCTGGCTGCTTAAATTTCCGAACTTACCCGACAGACAATACCAGTGGCGGGCGGTCATTTTATTCAATAAAAATGTTAGTTTACTAAAATGAATCAATTACATGGAAGCTTCATGATCTGATTACTCAAATTGAATAGAATTTGGACTCACACATGCACATGATATCAGATGAATAAAACATCAATACCTCGTATTATGTTGACTTCACACTGGTTAAAATGTTATTCTCCAGAAAGATTCACCTGCTCAGCCGGAAAAAAAGTATTTCTCGATCATCTTCATTCCATATGATCAGATTTAATATT